GCCTAAGAGTTGGAGGTTGCTGTAAGCTATGACACCACAGCACTCTACTGAGGATTGCTGTGAGCTATGACACCACAGCACTCTGTTTCAAAAAAAATATATATATATATATAAATAACTCATGAAGAAGTGTCCATTATAGTAAGAAAATAAGAGGAACTGTTTACAAAACATACCTGACATGAAGTTTTCTATATATCTTTTTGTGAGGACCAGTAGATATTATTGAAGAGAATGTGGAGAACAGATTCCTGAATACCAGCAGCTAACTTAGGACAGCATCCCCTGTAAGGTTCCTGGCATGTCTATGCTATGAAAGCAAACCTGAAAGCGACAAGAAGCACAACTATTCCTGACGTACAAACGTGAAGCCGTTTCTCCTAGGCATCCTCAGAAAAGCTGAGGATGTAAATGTACTTACAATCTGAGGACGGAGTTTACAAAAGCATTTCTCATAGTATCCCTTAGTGTAGAATGATGGTATAATATCAAGCCCAATTCCATGGAAGCTTTCCTGTGAGTTTGGAGCCAGGTAAACTAACAGGACTGTTCTATTTGCTGGTGGTCAAGTGTGTCCGGGATGCTATGTTCATTACTGGGAACTGTACTTTACAAAGGGCAGTACCCAATTGTGCAGCATTCTGTACTCAGTATAGTCTCAATGGACTCTTGCTGGATGAACAAATGATTAAATGAATGTATGAATGGTTATGGGAACTGGGCACATTTTACTTGTACAAGTGAAGCCTCTTGTTTCCCTCAAAGAGCTTATAGTCTGATTATGGGCACAAGGTATAAAACTCACAAAAAACAGTAACAGATACAAATAAAAATAGGACTGCACAATAATGCAAACAATATCTTATGGGGGTAACATATTGTTGGGTAAATTCTATCTATCCATGTCTCTCTACATCGATCATCTGTCTATCTAAACAATGGGATTTTAAAATAAGGTTTGCTGAAAGAATTTCTGCAAAAAAAAAATGGTAATACATAATAGTATTTATTTTGGCATTTCATTATAGCACCTGTCGAGAGAGAGACAACTTAAAACCAAGTGGGAAAAGCAGAACAGACAGAGATCACGCTAGACCTAAAGTCTCCGAAGGTACAAGCAAGTACAGATTATGTGGGTCAGTAATAAATGGGGGAAAACATGAAGCAAGCTTCCAGCATTTGTGAAGCATTACTCTTGGAAGCAGATAGGATGGAAATGTGGTCTGAGTTTATGTATATATCTGATCCTGAGCCAGGAGCAGATTCCAGGCATAGCCACAGAGTTGGTTGCACATGTGAATGTCCTGGAATATCTAGCCATAATTCTGTTTCCTCAAGTTGCTCAGCCTCTGACTGCAATGTTCTTTAGAAACGTAAATACGCAGGATACTATAGAAATCAGAACAATTTACATGATTGTTTTTCTGGAGGGAACCGTTTTAACCTTTGCAGCATATCGGATTAGTCTTCCCCAAGAATTGTTCACTATGTTCTGAGTAAGATTCTAATAGTATTAAGAAGCATTTACCTTGCCTTTAAAGCATTTTAATAGCTTCTGCCTTACTCAAAACCACAGTTTATTTTACATGCAAAGGAAACAGAAGGAAAATGGAAAGAGCCAGGCACTAAGGGAGTTAAACGGGAGAGTCCAGCCACAAAATTCCAAGTATTTTAATGGCTATTCTTGGTTTTCCCTGTGTTTTGAAGGAAAAAATGCTACCTTTGCAATTTGAAATCACAGTAGTTTGTAAAGTCTATTGCATTTAGAATCAGAGGTTCACAAACCCTTTAGGTGAGGGGAAGTGTTTGAAATCTCACCCATGCAGGAATCTGTGCCACAGCCTGACGGCGGCTACTCAGCCAATCTCCAGCCAAGCCCTGCCAGTGACAAGCACTTCATTACTGCACACGTCAGTCCATTCCATTGTTGAATATGTCAGATGGCAGAAAAGTTTTTCCTTATGTAATTCAAATGCCATTTCCTTTTCAGGCTTTGAGTATTTATAAAATTGCATTTCTATTAAAACCCAAATTATGCTGACCTCGAGTCCCGAGGGACCCTTGTGAGGAAAGTGTCTTGACTTAGAACAGTTCCCAGGTACTTTCCACCCTCCCAGAGTGCTGTCCTGCGGATTTAACCCCGCTCTTTGCTCTGGCCCTCTTGTCAGCTTGCCATGTTGCTGACTCAAACTCTGGTGGTCCTTGTGAGATGTCTGCTTTGCCAGGCATGGCTGGCAGCTATGATGGCCACTCTTGGGAAATACTATTCTTCCTTTTTCTATCCATCGTTAAGTGTAAAACAGAATCTTCGTGAAATTCTCTATAGCAGAGGCTGGAATTTTCATCAAGATTTATCAAAAGCTTGGGATCATTTGCTATTAGATGTGGTCTCCCTTGAGACCTGTGGGCCATGGGGCTCCCATAGCACCCCTGCACAACCCCTCACTTTTTTTCTTGTGGCAGGGTCCATTCGCCTCCAGCAGACATGGTGTTCCTGGGCCCCAAACTGCTAGGCCAAGGGAAAAAAAAAAAATTTACCTTTCACACCAATCTCAGGACTATATACCTCTACTCCAGCCCTAGTTTTTTCTAGTTAATTATCCTCTGAGATCCAAGGACGATTATGTTATAGGTAATAGTTCACCATCAGTAATTTACTAAACTATGGCTTGTTCAGTTTTACAGAATGTTAAGCAAAGGTCATTCTATTAGAAAAGGTTCTTGTTGAGACTAATGGAAACAACTGTGGCTAAGTTAAATGGGGAAGAAAGTTGTTTAGAAGGAAACCGGGTAGCTCCCAGAATCAGGCTCCTAAAGTAGGCAGCGGCCTGCAGAGGTCACGCTGTAGGAAGCAGCGTGGGTCCAGCTACACCGTGGGCTGGTCGGGAAGCTGCTCCAGCAAGTCGCCTCTGGATGCTCTTCAGCTGTCACTGTCGGCCTCTGTGTCCTCTTGGCCTTCAGATTCTGAACCAGTGCTATTCAGCGGAAATTCACACAGGATGACAGTACATCTTTGCCATCGTACACAGTAGCCATCAGACACATGGCTATCGAACAACTGAAAAGCAGCTGGTTTGTCTGAAGAACTGAGTTTTAAATTTTATTTAATAAGAATGAAAATGAATCTAAATAGCATCCCGTGACTATTCCTTAATATATTGGACAACACAGCTCTCATCTTTCAGGGCTTGTTGCTTTGGGATTATCAGTCAAAAATTTTCCAGGGTCTACTTTTTCAGGTAGGAAAAGTACTACTTATACTTCAATTTCTGGGCTCCTTTATTTGGCCTGTGGGAGAAACAACACCCAGGTCATTGGTTCATGATATATCACATCTTTCCAAAGAGCATTACCCCCCAACTACTGAACTACGACGGCTTCACCAGGTGCTTCCATCACTGGGCAAGGTCAGAAGCACCTGAGTGATGCATGATAAGATCAGCGGCTGTTTCCTTGTCCATTGGGTCCTAGTCGAGTGTGATGACACGAAAGCCAGACTTTCTGGGTTAGAATTGTGGTTCTACCACTTAGCACTTTAGTGGCTTTCGGGGAGTGGCTTAGCTAGGTCATTTGTGCCTCAGTTTCTTCATCCTTAACAAGGATGTGATAAGGGAAGCCAATTCAAAGTATAGACAAATTCACGTAAAAGCCCAGAAGAGCATCTGGAAGGCAGTAAGCTCTCAGGGATGCTGGCTTTTATCATCACAAGTGCCCAGTGATTTTCCAGTGAGAGAGCTACTCAGTTTTCCTGTGAAAACACGAACTGGTATGTTGGCCAAAGTACTCTGAATTATAAAAAAAGACCAAAAAACTTAAACATGCCAAAGAAAATTGTTGATTTCAACGGCCTGACTCTAAAGGGACAGCCCTGACCTTCTTTGATGGTTGAGAATCTATTTAAAAAATCTCACCTTCTAGAAATAACTGGTAAGTTTTTTGTGATAAAATTTTCTACTTTGTATATTGAACGATAAGACAAAAATTAAAAGTCTGCAAATTTAGAGGAGAGAGCGTGAACATACATACCATGAAGGAAATAATGCCAATAAGACTAATTCAGGCTGACTCTAGAAAGCATATTAATGGCCTCAAAAATTATTTCTATCATTAAATTGAGGATTTTTATTTTTTATAAAAACATAAACCAAAAATGCAGGATAGAAGTTCAGCACTCAGACTAATACATAAAGCACAGCAGCAGTGAAAGAAAATGTTCGTCTTGTGTTTAGACATTTTTTTCAGTCTTAAACTTTGCTTGGACCTCACTGTGGGCCTTCAGCAGCCAACACGTAGCACCAGGCAGTTCTGTTTCCTGTCACAGGCAAGCTTTTTTTTTCTTCACAAAAAAGATGAAAGGAAAAAATATACAATAATCTTAATCCCTCAAAAATAATTTCTTCTTTTTTCTAAAAAGAATTAAAAAAAATAGAAGGAAAGCTGCTGTTGTGCTTTTTTTGTGTCCCGAGAAGACATTGTATAATCTGGCCTGCATACTTCTCCATCTGCTTTGAAAAACAAACATAGCAGAGTTCAGTCCTCTATGTTGCTATAAGCAGTGAATGAAAGAGGCATAATATGACTTATTCCACAGGAAAAATCCAACCTGGAGATCCCACTTCACATGAGATTGATAAAATTGCCCTCGTGTGCATGGGTATATAAATTTTGTAAGTCTTTGACACATGTGTTTCGCAAATGCCACGAGCTCATAGACAATCACAAATCCCCGAGTTTTCTAGGAATCAAATCAATAAGACATGGAATCTTTATCAGTCAGCAGCCAAGTACTTTGAAGTCTTCATACATACCAGCTGGAAGAAACATACGGTGCTACACTTCAAACTCAACGTGTGTCCTGTGTGATATTACTACTAAAATGGAGATACTAAGGCTCACAATTAAGGCTCAAAGAAACTTCATGGATGCAACTTGATACATATATCTAATTATTAAGGTGATAGAAAGTTAGTAAAAAAAAAAAGTGATGTCTAATCTGATGCTTTAATTTTTTTGTTATTAATTCCCTAAAAGAACGTGACTCATTATGTATACTCTATTTAAAAAAAAAAAAGGTGTGTGTTTTGAGTTGACTATCTGATGGTAATGGTGAGTTTTCCTCAATACATGTGCTGAAAGGTTCTGTGACCAATAAGTGTACATCTGTAAGATGGCTGGCCAAGGTAAGAGGAATTTTTATTCATTTATGCAAAGGGAACATATTCACATTGCAATTAACCTACAAATTTACAGTATCGTCATATTTTACTCAACCGTAGGCATAAATCTGAATCTGAACTGTTTATATGTACTTAGATTTTTCACAATCCTCTTTTGAAATGAAAATCCAGAAAAATCTACCCCTTCACACAATTTTTTGCTTTGCAATAGTAAAGTCCACAAGGCATGCTATTGGTAGAAGTCAATTTGTCCTTGTCCAAGAAGACTAGGAACCCAAGAGAGTAGTGGTAAAGAAACTAAGGTGCCCTTATTTCTCTCTGCCTTTGCAGTGAGTTACAACTGAGCTACACTGAGTCTCACTCATGTCGCTTTCAGAGACAATGGGCAGAAGGTGAGAGACCACAGCAACCAATGGCCCTTCTCCCCCTCGATTTTTTTTGCTGTAAACCCTAAACAAAAAGCTTCTAGAAAAAAGCAATCTTTTGTGAAATTGCCCTGTTGACTTAACTATAAATCTCTTCCTTCTCCCTCCCCTATCTCATTTCTCACAAACATTATAAGTGCTAGAACAGCCTCTTGTTATTAAAGGAAGAGACTGATCCATTATTCAAATGAGTCATTGTTCCATGAAGAATGAGAAGGAAAAACCCTGAGATTAATGAAAGCTGCTGTGGCCATTTTCTCTTGTTTTGTAAATAAATTAAGGATACATTACCAAGGAGAATAATATAAGCATGTGTTCTATTAAAACACTGTTATCTGCTCACTGACCATCAGAAGACAATCAATGCTGTGACTCACTTCCTCTTTCATTGCTATTAAGACGGTTTGAGACTTAGTGGACAGTTGTCCCTGGCCTTAACACTTCATAAAAAAACAAATGCTATAAAAGTGTGTATGTAATAGCCACACTGTCTTTTCAAATAGAAACCT